AAAGGGCGAGCATGTTTGGTGGGACGGGATTCGAACCCACGACCTTCAGATTGCGAGTCGAGTGCCTTATCCACCTGGCCATAATAGCATTAGTAAAGTATAATAAATCACTTCTCACCTTCTCCCAACAAGTCCAGACTTGATTGGTTGAACAAGCTACTGCAGTTGACCAATCCTTCTGGACGAACGCTGTCAGAAAGCTTTATAAGAACTCTATCAAGGCTGTCAGAAAATCGACCTGTGGTTGGCTGAGGAGCTTCTGGTGATTGTACGGTTGTTAACTAGATAATATACACAGAAGAAAGAAACAAACTTTGAAGCATCAAAAATATTGAATAACTACTAGAGTAAATCATGTTGATTGGCGAGTTTAACTAAAGGGTTCTGGGTAGTTTCTATTTAGATTAATATTAATACAGTTGAAACTAATATATACATATATATATATATTATTTATTTTTAATACTATCTGTGAAGATGATGAAAAAAACCACATTAAAACTACAAAAAATATGTTTGTGCTTGACAGTGATACTACATCAACACAGATAAAATTTACCAGTTCGGTAGTTTATACCCTTACGGAAGAAACTGTTGAAACCTCAATCAATTTTTCAAATTCCTGGGACATGGCTGTAGTCGTCATGGCAACTGGAGAGGTGTTAATGTAGTTATACATGATGTAGTCCACATCCAGTACATTTCCACCTTCATCATACAGTGTTATTGCTCCTTCTTTGTGCTGTTTGATCAAGCTGTCCACAGCATCCTGTAGCTCCTGTTGCGCAATCTCAGAAGGGTTCTCCTCACTCCACAAGGCAAAGGAATACTTGATTCCTCCTTCACCTACACAAGATATGTTTTAGACATCTCCGACCTTGTAATAAATGATACTCATAATTCCAACATTAAACAACTAGATCATACGTATCGCTTTTTTAATTGTCTTTTATTCAAAACTGTAAACCTATGATTATAAGAAATACCAACACGTGAGATACAGCCCACCATTAAAAGAAGTCTAATATTGTAATTTTTTTTCGATTTACCCTTGTCTATGGTTACTGATGAGGGATGGAAATTTTTCGAAACCGATATATAAATCTCAGTGACAAATGGTGAATTGAATGATGGATTAGGCTTCACGTTTATATTTGATATATTAAACATCCATAGCCAGGTGGTTAAGGCGCTCGACTCGCAATCTGCGGGTTCGAATCTCCATCCCATCAAACATGCTCGCCCTTTCAGCCGTGGGGGGGGGGGGGGTTATAAGTACGACGGTCAATCCCACAATTCGCTGGTAAAAGA